CGAGGCGCACGGAGAGGCCGCCGTCGCGCGCGCCGACGGCGACGACGTCGGCCTCGTGGACGCCGAGCGCGGTCTCGACGCCCGCCGCGAGCCGCGATGTCAGCCACGGTTCCGCGTCGCCGCCGCGGAGCGCGTCGTCGGCGGCGTCGCCGAAGTCGCAGTCGGCGACGTACTCCTTGGCCACGCCGTGCCTGGGCGCGAGGAGCTTGTGCGTGAGCGCGCCGTCGGACGAGAACAGCAGCAGCCCGGACGTGTCCGCGTCGAGGCGCCCGACGGGGTGCGCCATCCGCGGGAGCACGGTCGACAGGTCCGGCCGGCCCCGGTCGTCCCTCACCGTCGAGTGGACGCCCACGGGCTTGTGGTAGCACCAGAGCAGCGGCGCGGCGGCGACGGGCTCGCCGTCGACCGCCACGGCCGCGTCGCCGGCGACCTTCGCGCCGACGGCGCGCACCGTGGCGCCATCGACGGCGACGCGGCCCTGCTTGATGAGCTTGCCGCAGGCCGCGCGCCCGTCCGCGGCGCCGGCGTCGTTGAGGAGCTTGTCCAAGCGCACCGTCTTCGCCGCCTTGCTCGCGAGGCCGCGCGCCGACGCGAGCAGCATGCCGAGGAGGAGGAATGTGCGCATCAATGAGAGACGTTTGCGTAGTCCAGCGACAGCGTTGGGCGTGCTCACCAGGTCGCCTGCGGCGCCTCCATACGCTGCACGGCGGCTGCACTTGCTGTGGCAACACTCGCTGTTTGATGTGGTGAAGTAGCTCTACGATGGGCGCCTCGAAGGCCTCCTTCGTGCTGCTATTCGCGAATCTGGCTGCGGCGTTCCAGATGCCGCGCCGCACAGCTCCAACCCTGGTCCGGCGCGCGACGGAGGACGGCAGCATCGGCGGCGTGTCCGCCGAAAAAGCAGCCCAGATGGAGCGCATGGGCTACCGCTACGACGAGGCGCGGCGCACCTGGACGCGCGCGCCGGTCGGCGCCGTGCGCAAGAAGCCGCTCCGCAGCGGCCTGCGGTCCATCGAACTGACGAACGAGGGCGACCGCTCGGCCGCAGACGCGTTCGCGAGTCGGGTCCGCGACGCGCGCAAGGACAGCTTCCAGGACACGGAGACGGCCACGGAGCTCAGCAAGCTCTTCAAGATGCTGCTGTCGCAGGCCTGGGCCGCGCCGGCCTTCGGCGCTCTGTGCCTCGCGGTCGCCTACGAGGCCGCGGGCGCGCCGGCGCCCGCGGCGCCGTCGGGCGATTGGGCCGCGGCGCTCGCCGGCGGCCTCGCGGCGGGCGCGCCGCTCGCGGCCGCGCGCGTCGCGTCGCACCGGCTCTCCAAGGGCCTCGAGCCGCCGGACGGCCGCGCGCTCGAGCGGAGCCTCGTCGACGCGTCCGTCGGGGGCCACGCGCTGCCGTCGCCCTGGGAGTGGCGGACGACGGACGCCGACTGGCGGCTGCGGGCCGCGCTGCTCGGCGCCGTCGTCGACGCCGCGCGCGTCGCGGTCCTCCACGGCTCCGTCCAACCTGCCCTCGCCCTCTACCTCTCCGACGACGGCGTCGCGCCGGCGCCGCTCCGCGGCGCGCTCGCGCTGGCCGCACTCGCGGGCGCGCTCGCCGGTCTGCCCGCGGCTATCGGGGCCGTCGACGACGCCCTCGCGCCGGAGCGGCCCCGCGACGGGCGCGTCGACGACGGCGTGCTCGCGGAGCTGGAGGCCGCGAGAAGGTTCTCAGCCAACGCCGAGGCCTACTTCCTGGCGAACGACGAGCCCGACGAGGCCGCGGCCAAGGCGGCGGTCGTCGCGCGCCTCGCGGCGACATGGGACGAGGCCTTCGGCCGCGGCCCCGCGCGGTGGCTCGTGGGCGTCGGTCGCGCGACCGCGGAGAGCGGCGCCGCGGCCCTCGCCGCGGCCTACGTCGGCGGCGCGCCCGCGGCCTGGGTCGCGAACCAGGTCGCGACGCTGGCCGTCGCCGCCTTCCCCGACGCCGAGCGGAACGTCGTAAAACTCTAGTCACTCCGGCGGCGCGGGCGCGACGCGCGCGCGGCCGTGCTGGCGTCGCTGTTTGAAGAACACGATGACCCAGTAGACGGCGACGCCGCGCCGCGCCTCGGCGGCGGCGCCGAGGACCGCGTCCCGCCACGGGGGCACGAAGGCGACGCCGACGGCCAGCGAGAAGACGACGTTCACGCATAGGCAGATCCAGAACATGTTGATCGTGTCGACGGCCCACGAGTGCACGAAGACGCCCCAGTAGTCGCGCTCCAGGTCGACCCATCCGTAGAAACCTGGAGGAGCGACGTCGCGGATCAAAGCACAGCAAACGAAGACGCCGGAAAACCGCACCCCAGTACCCGTAGGAGTGCAGGATGGGCTGCGACGCCGGGCAGAGGTACTTCGCGTCGCGGTAGCTCGCCAAGGAATTGTCGTCGTCCTTCGCCGCGGCCCGCGCGGCCGCGTCGCAGACGCGCCACGCGCCCTGCGCGTAGTGGTATGCGCCGTCGCCGACGGCCAGATTGCCCCCGCAGCAGCCCGACCCCGCCTGGAGGAAGTTGGACACGTTGACGCACCGGTCCCGGAGGAAGTCCGCCGTCCGTTGCTCGCCGAGGAGCTTCCCCGCGAGCAGCGCGCGCAGAATCTTCCCGACCTGGCGGCCGGACATGCGCAGCCCGCCGGACAGGTCCGGGAAGCCCTGGTCATGGTCGTTGTAGAGGCCTACGGAGAGCGATGAAAACGTACGTCTCGAGACATAGAAACGCCGGAGAGACGCGCCGCCCCACCAGGGCATGATCCACGGCGCGTCGGCGTAGAGCCCCGCGTAGTCCGGCTCGGCCTTGATGCCCGAGGGCTCGAAGACCTCCTCGCGCACCGTGCGGATCCAGGCGTCGCGCCGCAGGGGCCTCCCCGCGGCGCGGAGCGCGACGGCGCCGGCGACGACGAGGTGCCAGGGCCCGTAGAGGAAGCTGCGGCCCGGCGCGTGCGTCCGCGGTTTCGCGGCGATCTCGCGGACGCAGGCGTTCCAGCTCGGCTGGTTCGGCGGCCGCGCGCAGCCGACGTCGGACCGCTTGTCGTAGGTCATGGCGGAGAAGCCCGTCGTGAACGAGAGGAGGTGCGACACCTTGGCCGGCTCGGCGCCGTCGCCCCACTCGGGCACGTAGTCCGAGACCTTGTCCTCGAGCGAGAGCGCGCCGGACGCGGCGACGCGGTGGACCGCGAGCGCCGCGATCCACTTGGAGCCGCTCGCGATGCTCAGGCGCTGGCCCGCGCGGATCCAGCCGACGCGCGCCGCGTGCCTCTCGCCCCCGCGGTCGCCGACGATGAGCGCCGCGTGGTTCTCGCTCCGGCGCAGGCCCCGGTCCACGGCGTCCCAGGAGCCGGAGCGCAGCGCGTCGACGATGGTCTCCTGGTGCTGGCGGCGGAAGTGGTCCCCGGGCGTCCACGTCGCGCTGTCGTAGCCGTCCCGGCCGTTGGTCACGGCGAACCAGGCGACGAGCCAGAGCGGGAACGCGAGCATGGTGTGGACGACGCAGGCGCAGCCGCAGCACGTCGCCGCGCGCTCCGCCGCGACGCGCCGCCGCGGCGCCGCCGCGGCCGGCGTCGCCGCGCTGTCCAGGGGCGCCGGCGCCACGGGCTCCACGGGCGACTCGACGAAGGTCGTGTCCGTGTCGTCGTCGGCCGGGTCGTAGGCGTCGTCGCCGGCGTCGGCCACCTCCTCGGGCTGGATCATGGACCCGAGGCAGTTCGCGAGCTGCTGGCGGCGCGCGTGGAGGTCGCGGACGACGAGTCGGTGGTGCGCGTGGAGGTCGCGGACGACGATCGCTGTCAATTGAGGCTGCCCCAGGCGGAAGGGATGGTACCACGACCCATGCTTCCACTCCCCAAGTATCCAGGCCGACGTTTCCCCTAGGTTGCCCCGTCTGACCCCACTCTGCGCGCGGCTATTGCGAACGAACGTCGCCAGGGCGTGCACAGCGAGAAGAGACGAGCCCGGGCTTTTACCAGCTAGACCTCCGTCTTGTAGGAGAGCGCGAGGTCGCCCGCGCCGACGCGGGGCTTGTTGAAGCCGTTGGGCCCGAGGAGGTTCGCGGAGTCGTCGGGGACGTGGGAGATGATGAGGCTCGACTTGCCGCGCTGGAGCGCGCCGCTCAGGTTCACGTTCGTGTCCGGGACGCGCCACGCGACGCCCGCGTCCCAGGGCGCGTCCGTGCCGAGGCGCCCGGCCGTCGCCGCGTCGAGCTCGAAGGCGAGCTTCTTGAGCACCGTGAAGCAGTTCGCGCGCGTCTGCGCCGCCTTGATGACGCCGTCGCGCCAGCCCGCGGCGGCCGCCGCGACGGCCTCGAGCGACGCCCGGAGCTCTTTGAGCTCCGCGTCGTAGGACCAGCCGGGCCGCGTGGCCGCGTCGGCCTCGCGGCAGAAGTCGCGCTCCGCGGCGACCATGCCCGCGTACTCCGCCGCGGACGCGTCGCTGCCGGCCCGGCGGAAGGTCTGGAGCGACGCGTCTCGGAGAATCCGCAGCTGCTTCGCGTAGAGCGCTTTGAGCTGGCCGTCGAGCGCCGCCTCGACGGCGGCGGCGGCCTTGGCGTCGCCGCCGAGCTCCGCCACGGCGTCCGCGGCCGCGGCGCAGATGGCCTCGGCCTTGGCGCCGAGGCCGGGGACGCAGGCGCCGCCGTCGACGTGGGCGCGCAAAGCGGCGACGGAGTCGAGGCCGCCCCGCAGCGCGCCGTAGGTCGCGCCCGAGGCGCCGCCCCGGTTGATGGCCACCGCCGAGGCGGCCAGGACGACGAGCGCGGACAGCGACCGCATGCTCTGCGATCGCGGCATCGTTGTTCAAGCAGCGAGGCCTGTTCACCTTCACCTTGCACGACGTCGTGCGGCTCGACCAACCTGATGAGGACCTCGATGCGATGGGCAGCATCAGACCCGCCTCTCCGCTGCTGCTCCTGGCCGCCATCGCGGCCTCCGCGACGCCGCCGGTCGCGCGCTTCGTGCCCACGCGCCGCAACGCGACGGCCGCCGACACACGGAACCCGCGCGTCTTCCTCGCGATGACGGCCGCCGCGGAGGACGAGGAGGCGAAGCTGCTGCCCTACGTCCTGGCGCACTACGCCGCCCTCGGCATCCCGCGGCGCAACTTCATCGTCACGCTCCACGCGCGGCCCGGCGGCGAAGGCGCCTACGCGGCCATGGCGGCGACGCTCGAGGCCGCGGGGTGCCGCGGCCACGTGAGATGGACGTCGCCGTATTCGGGCGCCGCCAAGGACTGGGCAGGAAACAAAAATATTCAACGCGACTTCAATGTGTGTTCTATTCGACAGTTTCGACGCGAGGCTTTCTGCTGTGCTTCGCCGAGAGAAACGATCCGTCGAAGAATCGGCCGCATCGACTTCGACGTGACCGAGCTCGGGAGGTTTGAAGTTTGGCTGGTCTCACCCAATCCTTGATGTCGGCACAGGCCAAGGAGGCCGCGCGCCGCGCGGTCGCCTTCCCCGCGTTCCGGCGCCGCGGCTGGCTGCGGCGCGGCGACTGGGTCGTCCACGCGGACAGCGACGAATTGGTCGACTTCGGGGTACCGCTCGCCGACGCGTTGGCGGCGGCGGCGCGCGACAACATCCGCGGCTACTGGACGGACCGCGTCGCCGCGGGCGGGCGGCTCGCGCCCGTGGCGCGCGTCGACGCGGTCCCGCGCGACGCCGCGGCGCTCTTCGCCCAGTACCCCGTGTCGTGCGCGCTCCGGCGCAAGCCCAAGGTCGTCGCGTACCGCGACCCCGTCGAGGTGTCCGACGGCGCGCACGACCTCCGCGCGGGCGGCGGCGCGGCGCCGAACGCGTCCGTCGTCGTCCACCACTTCAAGTGGCGCGCGGCCCTGCTGGAGCGGCTCCGGGCGCGGGCGAAGACGAAGCTGTCGCCGCGCGGCGTCTTCGGCCGCGGCAAGCGCGGCGCCGCGCGGCTCGTGCGGCGCCTCCGGCGGCGCCTCGAGCGCGACGGCGGCGTCTGCCTCACGTGCCCGGACCTCGCGGGCGTCTGCTGCGAGGGCTGCGACGCCGCGTCGCTGCGCGCGTTCCCCGACTTCCTCCGGCCGCGCGACCGGCCGCGGCCGCGGCGGCGCCGCGCCCAGGCCGCGGCGCTGCTGGCTCTCTTCGTCGCGGGCGTTGGGCCGCGCGCCTGGGCGGCGCGGCGCGGCAAGCGCCACGTCTAAGCGTCGCGTCTCGGGCTGGCGTCGGCGCGGTACGGCGACCGTCGTGACGACGCCGTCGGACGGCGGCCGGGCCCGGAGCGTGGAAGCCGCCAACGCGGCGCGGCGGCCACGGAGAGCATCTCTTGTCGATGCGACTCGCGCTCTTCGCGCTGTCGAGCCTCGTCGTAAGAAGCCTGCGGGCGGCGCCGGCCCTGCGCCGCGGCCTCGTGCGCCGTCAGGCACAAACCACGGCCATGCCCGACAGCCTCGAGGCCTTTTGCGGCGCCGCCGACGCGTCGTGGCTGCGCTGCCTCAACGAGGACCCCGAGGCCGCGGCGCACGCGCCGAACAAGCGGTCGCGGGAGGTGAAGAGCGGCCACTACGTGCGCGTGGCCCCGACGCCGCTGCGCGCGCCGGGCCTCGCCATGCACAGTCCGGAGCTCGCGGCGGACCTCGGCCTCGACGCGGCGGCCGTCGCCGCGGCCGGCTTCGCCGAGTTCTTCGGCGGCGACCACGGCGCCCTGCCCTTCCCCGCGGGCGAGTCCTGGGCGACGCCCTACGCGCTGTCCATCATGGGCGAGCCGCAGACGCGGAACTGCCCCTTCGGCACGGGCAACGGCTACGGCGACGGCCGCGCGGTCTCCGTCGGAGAGATCAAGTCGCCGAAGGACGGCCGGCGCTACGAGCTCCAGCTCAAGGGCGGCGGCCAGACGCCCTTCTGCCGCGGCGCCGACGGCCGCGCCGTGCTGCGGTCGTCGCTGCGCGAGTTCCTCGCGTCCGAGGCGATGCACTTCCTCGGCGTCGAAACGACTAGAGCTTTGTCGCTCGTCGTCTCCGGCGGCGAGACGACGCGGCGGCCCTGGTACAGCGGCCGACAAGCGGACGTGCCCGAGATCAGCGAGGACGACCCGCGCCTGGCCCAGTTCCCGCTCCAGCTCCGGCGCCAGCTCATCCGCCAGCTCCAGCAGCAGGGCGCCGGCGGCGGCGACCCGGACGTCATGGTCGAGGAGACCTGCGCCATCACCTGCCGCGTCGCGCCGTCCTTCGTGCGCGTCGGCCACGTGGACCACTTCGCGCGCCGCGCGGGCGGCCGCGGCGCCGCGGCGTCCGCGAAGCGCGAGCACAAGCTGATGGTGCAGCACGCGATCGCGCGCGAGTACCCGGACCTGCTGCTGGAGCACCGCGACGAGACGGACGCGACGATGCTCGCGCTCGTGGGCGACGACGAGCTCAGAACGGCGGCGCTGGCCTTCGCGGCGCGCGCGCGCGACGCGCTGGCGCTCTTAGCCGCCGGCTGGTTGCGCGTCGGCTTCTGCCAGGGCAACTTCAACGCGGACAACTGCCTCGTCGGCGGCCGCACCATGGACTACGGGCCCTTCGGGTTCATGGACAAGTACGACCCGTCCTTCGCCAAGTGGGTCGGCTCCGGCGACCATTTCGCGTTCGCGGCGCAGCCGGGAGCGGCTCTGGCGAACTTCCGGACGCTCGCCAAGGCGCTGCTGCCCCTCTTCGAGGACGACCCGGCGCCGTTGATGGCCATCATCGACGGTGCGAAAGCCACCTTCGCCGACGCCATGGCCGAGTGCTACGGCGCGAAGCTCGGGTTCGCCGATCCCGGGTCGGCGGCCGCGCGGAAGTCGTGGCTGGCTTTGGAGCCCTCGCTCCGGGGCCTCGACTACACGATCTTCTTCCGCCAGTTGGGTGCCGTCGCGCGGGCCGATGATGATGATTTATTGGCTTACGTCGAGGACGCCTTCTACGCGGACCCGTCGCCGGAAACCGCCAAGGCGCTGCGCGCGTGGCTCGCGGCGTGGAAAAGCGGTTTGGGCGACGCGGCCGCGGCCGCCGCGCGCCTCGACGCGGCGAACCCGAAGTACGTGCTCCGCGAGTGGATGCTCGTCGAGGCCTACGAGGCGGCGAAGCGCGGCGACTTTTCCGTCGCGCACGAGCTCCACGGCCTCGTGAAGGCGCCGTACGACGAGCACGAC